TGAATGAGAGATGTTTTATTTACCTTGTCGACGTGAAATATCCAAACAAAATAATAAAACATACGTTTATTTCGTTTCCATCGCGGGATTGCAAAATCCGACCTACCATGTTGTTTGTTGTTGATCGTTATAAATTATGCTAATGAAGCTAGCGCATGGGCAAAACGTATTGTTACTGAGGGGTCATCTCGGGGTTATTCTCAACGAAAGATGTTTTCTATTTTGATCCTCTTTTTATAAACGGTAATATCAATAATTCGCAATCGAGAAAATTCGTTTGGGCAGTTTTGACACTTCGATGCTTGCAACAAATAACTGTAAAATTGCGTGTACGATACTCGTGTTTCATTTCCGATTCGTTTAACTTTCTAATTCAACACCCATCGAGAGTTGGAGCATTTTTAATGCTTGTTTGTTTGTTTTTTCAAACACTGCAACTTTGTCTGTGCATTTTGTCACAGTGTACAATCGACAATACTAACGATGGGACTGATTACCGCCTGTGATGGTATATGTGTAGAGACTGGCGAATAAGACTGCATGGCGAGAGTGTGAAAGTCAGAGCTGAAACGCCAATGCGGCCGATCGTTGACAATCGTTCTTATGCATTAAATACACCAATGAATCCATGGGCAGAATCACTTGGTTTCAGTGAATTTACATGATATAATTTGTAGTAAAAAAGTAAAGCTGTGTAATTATCAAGATGAAAATGAGTGACTTTTATTAAAAAAGACCTATTCATTGTAGGTTTGTTTTTATGTTTTGCTTATGATCTCCCTTAAAATTCCGGCCCTAATTAATATTCATGATTAAATGAATAAATTAGGCCACCTCCATATAAAGACCACCTGTCTATAAAGGACAGTTTGACTCAGTCCACTGACTGTCCTTTATAGACAGGTTTGACTGTACCTTCGAAAGTTACGACTTTTACTCTTGGAATTGGTGATAAATACATGCATAAAATACAACATTGTTTCACGCAACAACAATTCGTATACAGCATTGGACTTATGGATTTTTATATTAATAAAATACGTGGGCCGATAATATAACCATATGCTTAATATTTCCATGCCAGCGATGCTCGTAACCTGCTCGTAACTATTTGAAACAAAGACTCATGAAATCACAAAGGAAACTGTTAAGAACGTATTTCACACCTTTCCTATGACTAAGGTTGCAACCGGTACCAGTGGCCACCATGGTAGAGACCCCAAATTATAAGCAGTCCGCGGTTCTCCCCGGTGTACCGCGGAGAGCCGCGGTGATTACCGCAGTGAACCGCCCGTTTGATTTCCTACTCTCCCCTTAATGGCAGACCCAAAATGGCTGAGGTGGAAAGTGGGAAAGGACATTTGACTAGCGTATGTACCCCTATAATGTACCACCCCCTAACAGGAGAATTGCTTACGTGCAATAATAAGTTCTTGTTTCGATGGTGAACCTTCTTCTGTTGGCAAAAACTGAAGATTCAATAACATGATCTGTAAATTAAATAAAAAAAGTCCTTGATATCACACAAATTCAAAATACATTGCAGTACATTGTTTTCACAGGCTTGAATTAAAACTTACGTGTACAATTGTTTAACAGTTGTCACAACCAATTACGAGGGATTATTCCGTTGTTTAAAGAGTTTCCCTGCTTTATTGTACAACTTTATTAGGATCCAAACAAGGATACGATTCAAAAAATATTATGCTATCATATTCAAAATAAATAAGAGGGAGATTGGGCAGTAAAGCCATTGTTGCGTAATTTACTTGTGGGCACATATTTACAATAAATGATATTTGTGGCGTTCTTCTATTGGAGATGTGCAAGGTCACCCACAAACTTTATTTTTAAAATACCTTAGCAAAAAGTTGCATGCTTGTAAACTGTGATACATATCCACACAATTGTGAGTGGGATTTTTTGTGCAAAAACAACCCGTTTTGAAATGGCGGACTGACGTAACTAAGTGTATAGTAATCAAAGAAGTCCGAATTTTTACTATGCGCTCACTGTGTAAAATAGCACCGATTTTCCAGTTTGAAATTTATATTGTCGTCTACATGAGACCTGCAAGGGTGAACGTATATTTTGATGAATCATGTATCTGAGAAAGAAGTAAAAACCAAATATGTCACTAACTCTTGTTTCTACAACAACGACACTTACTCGTTTGGCTAAAGACGAAATTTGTGAATGAATCATGACTTACCTTTAGTTTAGCAAGGAGTTCGCCACATTTATCAACGGCTGGAGGCTTCCTTGCCCATTCTTTATTAAGTTGCTGGTACATAGTCACGGCTTCTTTTATCGTCGCCATTTTGATAACTAAAAGTATTGTGGGTAAATAGCGCCATCTGTGCCAGAAAACTCAAAACAATATTATTGTTCGAGATCTTACTTGCATTCACGAAAATCATAACCAGGCTCTGTTTTACAGTAAGAGTTGCTATATATCTTAAAATATTAAAATAAAAATGTCGAATTCATCCATAAAATATAAACACGATTTATGAATTTAATTGAGAAAAGACCGGAAGTTACATTTACGAACAAACGAACTTTTCATCTGCAACAGGAAGGGAGTCTCCGAAGTTGGTGTTATTGCTGTCACCTAAATTTACAACGTATCCCACGAGTAAAGCTTTTTTTGAAAAATGGAAAATGACATTCTCGACAGTTTAGAAGATTTAGGGTTAGTGTAATTATTTCATATTTCCGTCAAGATGATATAATTTTATATCAATGATTGAATCGAATGCGTTGATGTATGTACAGCACATGTGCTTTGACCTCTGACATGAAATGTGGACAATTTGCTTTGTCATCAGATTACATAAATGCCATGTATTTAACAACTACCTTAAACACCCAGCACAGTACCCACTACTATATTACTAAATAAAACAGTTGATAATTTTGGTTTATTAAAACAACCATATGTATGTGAACATGCAGCTAAGTGAAGTTTAATATATTGAAGATAATATTTGGTAATCGTAGTCCTAAATAACTATTAAAAATAGCTAGACGTTTCGAGCAATGGCTCTTTATCGATAGCATAGAAGCAAGTGTGATAACGTACAGGTAGAACATAGGAACGTAAGAACGCGCATGAACTATAAGTTAGAATCACAAAAAATTCCACAATAGAACAAATAACGCGCCTTAGGTAGTGAGCTCAACAAATGAGTTGAACTGTTTGTTAATACCATGGGGTTCTTTAGTTCCAAGGCGGAATATAGTTTCCTCCTCGACACGCCTGAGCTGATTTTCGTTGCCATTGACAACACATACACCAGAAATAGACATATCTGTAATATTATGTCCACTAGAATTAAAATGAAGTGAAACCGGATAATAACGATTTTTCTGTCTAGTTTGCCGTAGATGCTCAGCAAACCGATCACCCAGTCGACG